ATTATGGGGGGGCAGAGGTTCAGGTGTCCTCTCCCAGAATTTGTGGCAGAAATTCTGCTTTCGGGGGAGGGGGCTTGAGCCCCCCAAGCTCCCCCGTCCCCCTAGCTATGCACCTGCAAAGAGTAAAATATGTCACGCTTAAAAACTAAAATCTGATAAGGCTGGTTGAAAGAATATCCAATGCTGAAATTGTAAGAATCTAAGAATAGTAAAGCTCACTGCGGTACAAGCAAATGTAGTCTCATTTTTTGCCGTTTTGAATATTCTGCACGAAACCTCCGCAATTAGGTATCTTCGTTTTAAGGAGCTTCATGAAGCTTCAACGATGCCTGAACTAATCAGAAATGGATCATCTAGCGGTCATATTCTCCCCGCGATAGGAATTTTTGTGGTGACGTGATACTAGGCGTAGGTTGGTTGATGCGAGATAAGGTAAGAGCAGAGATGCTAAGTTTCATGAAACTTTATACAATGAAATTTCAGGGACAGATTTCATAAAAATTTATACAACTTTTTCAATGGACTCAGTTAACCATGGAACAACAAAAACTTAATTTTGAAGATACGGTAGAGAAGACAGTGTACAGGCATAATTAATTTTATTAAATATTTTGAAACTTCTGCAATGGACTCAGTATGCCATGAAAAGTATAGAAACAGTGAAATCTGAAATTTGAAATTTTGAATAGAAAAAACCATGAGTTACATTTCGAAGTGTCTTATCGAATTCTCGGATAATTGTTGCAGGCTGCACACGCTGCCCCTAGGAAATTGTTAAAATTTCGAAATTTTACATTTCAGCAAAACGGAATTTCACATTTCAGCAAAATGGAATTTCAAATCTCAGCAAAATGAAATTTCACATTTCAGCAAAATGGAATTTCACATTACAGCAAAATAAAAGTTCACATTTCAGCAAAGTGGAATATCACGTTTCAGCGAAAAGTCATATTTCAGCAAAACGAAATTTCACATTTCAGCAAAACGAGATTTCACATTTCAGCACCATGAAATCTCACATTTGAGCAAAAGGAATTTTCATTTTGCATCTCCGGGTAAGATAAGCTGAGCGAGCATAGTCTTGTTCTTCTCAATTATTGGCGCCGTCTATGGCTCGAATTCCGCACCGTGCCCGCAGCCCGCCGTCATAACTCACGATGATTGGCCCATGGCTCAAAAACCGCGAGTCCGGCAATTCCTGCGCGCAATCCGTGAAGGATTCCAGTTCCCCGTGAGGCTCGTGCGGTAAATTAATGAAAAGCACTTCACCTGTCCCGCGCCTGGAATTCAGCACCGTGGAAACCGTGTGGAAAACCATTTTTCCCCGGGTAGCGGATACCGCCGCCACAGGAATCCGGATCCACCGGGAAAACACGGGCCTCGGAACCGGGGAGCGAGGCTTCACCGCCGCGCTCTGCTGCCGTGCTCAAGAAGAAAGCCGTATGAACCTCCAGATGTTGCCAAGTTTCCTTCCATAAAAACTGAATCTATTAGATAAATTGTGAATATTTTTATCCAAAATTTTTAGGCAATTCCTCGTCTCTCGAGCGAAGGAACGTAACTTTATTCCAAGGTTGCAAAATTGACTCGAAAACTTAATTATTTTACAAAGATGTACCTGGGTTTTTTCGTTAAAAGTTTTACCGACTTTAGCGCGAAATCAAAAGAAAATTTGGTAAAATTCTTAGTTAGGAAAGCCCAAGATTCTTCTGGTGAAAAAGAAATTTTCGAGGGAAATTTTGGCAACATTGAAATGTAGGTACGTTCTTCCGCGAGGGAAACGACAAATTATGCAATTTAGTCTAAAATATCTGAAGATTTCAAGGAAAAAAATGCATGAATGTCGTCAAAAATACGTGTTTTCTCAATGGAAGTTTGGCAACTCTCGAATGTTCATACGGCGCTCTTCCTCAGGGAGGCAGTGTGGCAGCGGCGTGCTCCGCGATACATTGATTGATCTGCTATTTAAACCCATGGAAAAGGATCGATAAACAGGGTGTTTACAACGAGCACCTGAATGTTCGATTCTTTGCCATAGCTTCAAATGGGGAAACTTGGCTAATCGATCATTGACGCTTGGCCACTGGCGCAGCTGCGCAAAAGTCGCCAGCCTCGCGGCTTGACGTCGGACGTGCAACCCGCAAACCCGCAGTTCGGTCGCTCTCTCCACGCAACCACGGCGTGCGTTGTCGGCGCCTCGCCCGGTAGGCAACCACGTGTTCACCTCGCTAGATCAGGTAATTTTAATTAACTTTATCCATTTGCTCTGTCATGTCGGCTGAGTCTGTCTCGACCCTTCCGTTGCTTCGCGCGGACATCCACGAGAGTTGCGGTCGTCGGGTGGTGCTCTTCGATTTTGAAAAAAATAAACAAGGAAATATCCGTATCTGATACGCTAACGCTTGATTGTTTTCCAAGCTGCGGTCATCAATCTGTTCAAAATTAAGTCGATTATCCGATAATTGAGAAACAATTTTATTGTAACACCTGAAAATGCTCAGCGAGCGGCGTTCGCCGTATTTTTCATAATTTTTTTTTTAATATGGGAAATTGTAGAAACGTAGGTTTTAAGGCGAGAAAATCTGCCGGCTAGTGACTTTATCAGACTGTTTCTCTTAGTTTTTAATAAGAAAAAATGTGTAATTACGTAGTAATTGTAAATAAATACCAAACAAATCTCGGTAGATGTCAAAGACTGACTGAACATTTTTATTAACCTCTTATGAGAAAAATATACATTGTTGTAAGATGAACGCGCGAGGCGATTTAAACTCATGTATTCAAGGAAATCAGGTCATTTGGGTATATTTTTTCTAATAATTGTTCAATTTAGGAAGCAAGGATATTCTAGTGTTCAGTTCGCTTAGGAGTTTCTCCTTAAACATGAAAATCACAAAATTTTAGGCACCTGCATATCCTCCATCGCCCGTAGCGCCTAATATAACAGGAATTAATTGACTTCCTATCTTTTTCGAAAAATTTAGTAACGAGTGTTACGTAATACTTTACAGGGAAAAGAAATTGAGATTTCATGAAACTCAATCAGAGGCAAGACTCAGCGTTAAACAAAAAATGCACAGCTTTTAGTAGTGGCGTGGTGTGCTATGCGATTGATCGATTGATCGATTGATCTAACAATTAAACCTATATGGGCAAGGATCGATTAACAGGGTGTTCGAAACGGACACCTTAATAATCGATTCTTTACAATAGCTTCCAATGAGGAACTATCGTTAATCGATCAATCACGCATTCGTTGAATAGTTACGAAAATGGGAGCGCTCTGTGGAGAATCTTGACGTTCATGAAAGGGAATCCAGGTTTGTGTTACAAATGGATTATTGAAGGTTAATGTGCCTAGAAGGAGAAAAAAAATAAAAAAGAAACAAGGGAAAAACGAGGATACAGACCATTACGTAGTGCTTGTGAATTCCGAGGAATTTTTGGATTTTGAATGATATTTGGATCGCATATAGCAAAAAGGAACCAGCGCGATTACAGTGTTTTCAAAACCGCGCAACATCTTCTTTTCTTTTAAAAATACTTCATATATGTACAGTCTTAAAATTTACACGATTTTTTTCCTTTTTCCTTTTTCCCACGATTTTTACAACACTGTAATCGCGCTGGTTCCATTTTGCTAAATGCGATTCAATTGATCCTTAAGCCACCAATGAGCTTCGAATTTCCTGGCTACGTCATTTTACTTGCGATTTGCGCATGAATTTCGAAAATTTTCGAATTCCGTCACTTCAAGGCACCATAAAAGTACTGATTTTTTCTTCTTATAGAGTACTGCACTTTTATGAAAAGGTACTAAGAAAGTACTCTAAAAGTACTTAGTATTTGCCAGCCAGTTTTAGTCGACACTCTATTCATGCGACATAAGTTTCCTGATGTTGGCAGATTCGAAAACGCCTTCAATTGTGGCGTGATACCTCACGCACTCCGGAGAGTACGAATAGTTGTATCGTTGCGCCTTAGCAATGCGATGGAAGATTAATATTAGATCAGCCTCAACGCTCGACTTGTCGGTTTTCCTTTGCCGCTTTTGCAGTTTTGGCCGTATAGTTTAAATGTTCTCAAGCTAAGAATGTATTTAGCAAACGGATAATTTTTATAGACGAATTAAAAATAAACAAGGGGTAAGTAGAAATATAACTAAATGAAGGAACTCAAATAATCTCCTCTCTCATCTCTCAATCACCGGAAAAGGCCAAGAATTTCCTTTTTCCGAATAGGATATAGGTTTTAAAACTTAATATAGTTAGTGAGCGCCATTGTTTCGAGATTAATTTCTTTTTTCCCGACGAACTCTTCCATAAGAACATCAAGTTTTTTACAATCGTAAAAAAAAGTCTCATTATTCTATCGATAATCTAAAAAAAATGAAGTTTTAATAGGAATGAGTTCGCGAGTGCAAAGGCGGGTCAAGAGCACCTGAAGATGAAGAGACCTGACAGAGCCGAGATGATCATCGTAAATTTATAGGGAAAAAAACCGGAGAGTATCGGGATGTACAAATTACGTGAATATTCATCCTAGGTGTAAAACAGTAATGCACTGAAAAAAAATTCTCGGCATTTTTACCAAGGTCCAAAGGTACCTTTACCATCTCACTTTTTTACCAATTATTGGTAATTTTACCAAGACAGACCGGTAAGCTTACCTAAATACCGGTATTTTTACTGTTTTTTTTCAGGTAAGAATACCACTTTTATTGGTAATCAATTCCCGGTAACTTTGCCATTTTATCTCGGTAATTCTACCACAGTCGATAAAAAATATTGGCGGTGTTACCAAGGTCCAGTAAAATTACCGAGGAAGTTCAATAATTTTACCGAGATTTCTCGATAAAATTACCAATTCCATTAATGATAATTTTACCAAGAAAAAACTGGGATCAAATAGAACCCTGAATTCTTGGTAATTTTACCCTTTTCTGAGTAAATACACCGAGATTTTTTTTTCAGTGTGTCGTTAACAGTATGTATTAAAGAGAGAAAAATAGATTTACGCTGAAATTTGTTGGGTGTCGGAGCTGACTCGGGTAAAAGGAAAAAAAATCTTGTAATTTGCTTGATAATACGAGGCGATGCGGTCTTTACGGTGGGAACGTGTTCAACAACCTTTTTCCGAAGCGCCTTTAATATTCGTCTCCCGTCCGACTCGCCGCGGAGGGGGGGGGGGAAGGGGGGGAGAAAATTTGACAGAGTATCGCCATTTCCCAGCGTGCGTCATCAGGAATCGCTCTTGGGCACGCACCAGGATCCACCTAGCTAGATACCTAAGTGAACGCGGCGACAATAAACGAGGATGATATTAATCAGAAAGCAAACAGGAGTGAGCCGGGATAATCATGTTTTCTCTCGAGTCCAGTCCTGCTTGGCCGTTTCTACGAGGAGCTGAAATGTGTAACGCGCTCAACTGTTAAACTTCCAAGAATAGCACCTTTTATGGTCCTTGTGTTTTTTGCCGCAAGTAATATTCCGGGCCAGGGTTGCGCGGGTCAAATGAAAAATATGAAATATTGAAAATTATTGAAATATCTCGCGAATTTTCACAAAGTTGTGAAAAATATGAGGCGTATTTTCAGGGGCTGGGTATACAACACGCACTATAACATACCAAAAAACAAAACAAAAACTGTCGCCTTTCATTATTTAATTCAAAATAGAGAATTCATTCAGAAAAATATGACAAATAAATCTCAATATTTTTTATATGAAAAATGTTTTTCAATATTTTTCATATTTTTCTGAAATTTCAAGATTTTATTTTTCATGAATAATTGCAACCCTGTTCCGAGCAAGGGTCAATGAGGGACACGTCGGCGGTGAAACTGTAAAAATGAGTATCTTGGTTGCTGTGAATCTTTATCTTCGCTACTATTTTATTTTTCAAAAGGAGACCGACCCAACATGGCTTGAAGTTTCCACAGAATATTCTTCATAAAGAGAAGAAAAGTCACTGAAATTTTCGAAAAATGATGTTCAGTAGTTTTTCATCTCGAAAATAAAGTATGACGATAAGTCTGCAACGCCATGAATCGAGATACGCATCTCTTGAGTTTCATCATCGAATGTGTTTGTAGTATACTGCTGTACTAAGGAAAAACGCCGTATAACCCTTACTAAATTATTTCTGATACAATATGAATTTTCAGGGGAACTTGTGCACATTTTTCTCCCAATTTTTCACACAATTCTATTCTGAATTTACTCTAATATCTGAAAAATTCAAGGAGAAATATTTATAAATTTTCTCTATAATTCATGTTTTATCCGGGAACTTTTGGTAAAATTCAAATGTTCATACGGTGCTCTTCCTTAGCACGGCAGTACAGGCACTCGTGTTCACCTCGGTGAGCACCCCATCGATCTGGAAAATTAACATTGGCTGCAGCTGATTGCGGTGATCTTACACATGCAAGCATGTGCGGAAAGACCCTGCAACTCTTTGCTTCCTGCGCAAAGTTGTATTACGCATACCCAACCTAGAAACAATACCCAACCTAGAGACAATATCAAGCATTTATCAGAAAATATTTCTCTTAAGAAATTTTAAAAAGTAAAATTTTAATTTTTAAATTTAGGGTGTGTCTCCTGACCCCTTTGCGGCTTAGTCTTCGGGATGTGTTCCTCACGTAGCCCGTGATAAAAATGAGACAAACGGAAATAATGCGATACGGAAATAGAGCAAAGGAAAGTACCAGCGTTGGTGACGGCGCAGAGATACAACTATTCGTGTTTGCTAGATGTCCATGTTGCGTCTGCAAAATTGAAGGCGCTTAGGCGCGAGGCGTGAATTAGCCATGCTCATTTCTATACTGCCATTGAGGCAGGCGTCGTCGCTGCGATTCGGAGAAAAACTTAAAAAACGAAGTCCGAATATATCTATCCTATCTTCGGCTGAGTTGGCACTTAATTTTTTTTTTTCCGATTAGAAATCTGAGAAATGATAACACAGAATTGCAAAAATTCTCAAAATTGATCACTGAAGTCCTAGTGGAGAAAGAATTCCACGCAGTTAGAGAACTGGTGTAGACGTTTATTCAATCTAATTCACTTGAAGAATTGTCTAATTTAACTATTATGCATTTTTCTAATTTTGAATGTTAGTATTAAGTTTAATCTGAGTTGACTCGTTTGTTTACCTTTTTGCGCATTTTTAACGAATAAAGTGATTTCTATTCTATTCTATTCTATTCTATTCTATTCTATTCCTTTTTTAGGAT